GGTTCCCGCTCACTGGCTGAGCGAGGTGCGGGCGCGACACCGAGGGTTGCGATCCCGTTGCCGGTCCCGGTCCGGTACGGGCGCGACACTGAGGGTTGCGATCCGTTGCCGGTCACGAAAAAAGACAAAAAGGAATAAAAAAAAGAACAAAAGATGTGTTTTCCAGGGACCAATGCTTCTTCTAGGAGAGGGACAAGAGGTCAACGAGGGCTGGGACAAGATCAAAGAGATGGTCAGGGGATGGTGGAGGGAAAGAAGGGTGAGGATGTGGCTCCCCAGGGAGCTGTAGCACTTTGTGGGTCTTTGGGGAGCTGGGATGAGGCCACATCTGAAATACTCTAAGGTGGTGGTTCTAAACCTTTGCTGCGCATTAGGATCACCTGTGGAGCAGGTTTAAACACAGATTCCGAGGCCCGATACCTAGAACCTGTATTTGTAACACATGTCCCAGGTAATTCTGAAGCAGGTGGAACTGAACTACAGCTTAAGTGCCTTTGACGTCCATAAGTGGGTGCCAGAATCTGGGAAGGATGTTCATGGGGAAAGAATAGGTGAGAAGAAACCTTCTTGAGTCCCAGGAAGATTCTAGAAAGGGGTGGGGGATGCAATGTGCTCTTGGAACTCCTTAATATCTCAGATACTTTATCTCTGCACAGAACAAACCTCTTACCTGAACAGCTCTTTCTTAGTAAATCTCTCAGCCCTCAGAAATATTAATCTGCTCCAAGACCTGCCCTCAGCCATACACTGCCAGGGCTGGGACTCCACCTTATCCCCAGCCAGTTGCTAACTAGACCAGGGGCAGGCACCTGACTCAAGCTGGGCCACTGAGATTCTCTCTGCCAGGAAATTGGAGCAGAGATAGGAGTCTTTTGTAGCAGGTTGGCTGCACTCCACAGAGCAGCCCATGAGTACCCACTGTTTTAAGGTCTACAGGACTGCTCTGGTCCCTGCACTCCCTGGATCTTGGCCCTTCAGCTGGCCTCCGTCCTGTGACACACTCTGGCAACCTTCCACTAAATTCCACTTTTGGCTGAGTTAGCTCTCATCACTAGCCTCCAAAAGAACCTTCGCTGCAGCTGGCTGCTGGAGTGAGATGGGAAGTGTCAGTGGGTCTGAGGTTGTCCCTGTTGTCTCACACCAAGCTGTCCCTAAGAAATGGGCCCATCTCAACAGTTTTCTGAGGAAACTATCAAATGCCAAAGCCTGAGGCTTTTGTTGGAAGAGCCATGGCAGGTGGGCAAGAAGTCTTTGTGCCACAGCTGGAACTCACTGCCGAGATGCAGGAAGTGCAGATCAGTGAGGGGGAAAGGAGGAAGGGAGCCATCAGGAAGGTTCTGGGCCTGCACGACACCATCCTCACCCCTCTTCACACAGAGTCTATCGTGGAGTAGAAGAGATGCTTAAGGTTACTGAGACAGTTCTGGGAGGCAAGAAAACTGCGGGGTATGAAGTTCATATCTCTGAAGATCCTGAAGGCTGGTGTGGTAGCCAGCCTCCAAGATGGCCCAGCAATGCCTGCCACTTACAGTTATGCCCTTGTGTGGTCTCTTCCCATGTCCAATAGGGCCAACCTGAGTGACCAATAGCATATGGCAGGAGTGATGGTGTGTGATTTTCAAGACTAGGTCATAAAGGACATTGGCGGCTTCAACCCGCTTTCTTGAATCACTTCCTCTGGCGGAAGCCAGCCGCCATGTTGTGAGGACGCACAAGCAGCCCTGCGGAGAAGCCCGTGAGGTGAGCAACTGAAGGTGCCTGCCATTGGCGGCACCAACTCGCCAACCACGTGAATGAGCTGCCTGAGAGCAGATCCTCCAGCCCCAGGCAAGCCTTCAGGAGACAGTCGTCCCAACTGACATTTTTATCACAACTTCCCAGAGACCCTCAGTCAGAACCACCCAGCCAAGCTGCTCCTGGATTCCTGACCACAGAAGCTGGGTGAGAAGCACATGTGCATTGTTTCCAGCTGCTAAGTGCTGGGGTAGTTTGTGCCCTAGCAATAGATAACTAAGACATCTGAGGACAAGGATGTGCTGCTGCACCTGGAATAACTCTGGAAAGCAGGCACAGATGGCATGGCAGGATAAGGCTGTGTGGCCCTGGTGTTCTCAATGGGACATCAGGCACCAAAGGCAGCCATGCAGACTCTCCCACCTTCTCCTATATCAGGGAGAAGAGGAAGGGAAGCCCCTTTGGAAACTGAGGGAAGGAGCCCAAATCAACGGAAACAGCTGCAAACTTCCATGTCCTTTTCGGGTATGTCTGCTTCATCATCATGAGAGCCAAAAGAAGTTCACAATTCCTCAATATTCAAAATGCCAGGATTTCTGAGTGACCATCCTCTTGGTGGTAAGAGTCCTCCTTTTCTTCTCCTGAGGTAGTCCAAGGTCCCAGAGTATCTAACAGTCCAAAGGAAGACATCCCGGTTAGTGTTTCCCGGCAAAAGAAGACATCAGAAAAATCTCATCTAGACCACTGAGGGTTCCAGCCTTCCCCAAGCCAGAAGTTCCAGCAGTTTCTCAGAGCACATCTGAAGAAATGAAATATTGCCTTTGCAAAGTACCCAGGGACCCGTCCTGACAGAATGACTCAGGGATGTCCCAATCTGTTAGAGCAAAGAAGTCGGTGGTACAGCTGTCCTCCTGGGAGGCTCAGTCAGGCTGCATGATTCCCAGGAAAGAAAGGGAGACTCCAGGTTGTGCCAACACCGTGGAGACTTGTGGCCTGCCCAGGCTCACCATTTACCTGAGTCAGGGCCTCCGAGGGTCTCATGATTCTTCTAATTCACCCCACCACCCACTTCGTTCCCACCAGATCTCACTGACTGCAGGACCAACTGCTCAGAGACCAGGGCCTTCCCCCCAGGATCCCCTTCCCAAGTCGTCACGCTCTTCTCTCTCAGAGATTCTCCTTTTGGGAAACTCCTGAGAGGCTTGCCATCAGTACTATGGTGACCTCCATCCTGTTGCTGTCGTGGTCATGGGGTGGGCGTCAGGTGCCCTCACCCTAATTCACTCCCCACCTCCCATGATGGGAGGAAAAGTTTTCTCCTCCCACGTTCCACAGTCCTGCACCCAGCATATAGACAAGGGCCAAGGAGCAGGGAAGCCGGCCTGATGCCCAGAGGGACAGATGCGTCCTCCAGTGGCCCCAGGCCACAGCCCCCACCGCCACTCTTGTAGTGCCCCAGCGTAGACCTCACTCCCATGATGGCCTCAGGACCCCACCTGCCCACCTCCATCCCCTGGGCCAGCTGCCCCTACCCCAGGGCAGGGTCTCAGCTGAGGAGGGAAGAGTGGTTACCCCAGAGCTCCTGGCCTGCTGAGTTGGGGTGGGACTGAGTGTGCGGTTAGTCCCACTACATTCTGGAGAGCTTTTCAGACCCTTGGGAAGGGCTGGGGAGGTGCTTTTTGTGCTGCAGGACTCTGTGAGTGTGAGCTTATAGGAAGGCCAGGGAAATGCCAGGGCCTGCAGGGAGCATCCCAGCCATCCTCTGGCCTCAGCAATGTCAGTGTAGCAAAGAGGGGTGGAGATGTGGCCTTCCCCACAGTCAGGACAGCCCCAGAAGAGCAGGAGGAGCAGCCTGCTTT